ATTATGATACTATAAGGAGATATGCTACGAAATGTAATTAAATACGAATTTCATTGCTTTAAAAACCATGATGAAAAACAAAACGAAGTCAGTAATGAAGAATGCGAGTCAATGATTTAATTCTATGGCAATATTATAAATCAGGCATGCGATTAATATCGGGTGAAGTAGGAGGTTTAAGAAATAGCTATTCACATTCAGAAAAAGATATCATTGCAGCTTCTTCATAAATAATTGACATATTCTTCTAAATATTTTCCAAGTCGTTCACAAATGTTTTGAGAATAATCTTTCGATAATTATGAAAATACCGATAGTCTTCTCTGAAGCTGTTAATAACTGAAGTCTAACGCGTCATTTATTAACGTAAAGTATTACGTAGGTTTTCAGATTTTCGAGGATTGTTCTGAACATTTATTAATTATACTAAGAATTTATAATTGATATATGATTTAGACAAGGAATAAGAAAGTTATGGCTTAGAAAAAAGGAATTAGTTTTCGTAATGAAACCACAGACATCAAGGTACGTTTACAAATTCTGGTAGATGTAAGAAGAGAAAGACAGGTGCATAATTTTCAGTGATACGCTGAGCTCTTTGTTATGCTGTCGTTGATGATCTGAATAAAAAGTTACTACCCTATTAAAGAGGCCATTGTTTAATAATATACTCTTAAAATAATGTGGGTAAAGAGGCTATAATTATTTTATATCACAACGTCTTTGGGAATAATGTGACAAATGAAAACTTCAGAATTTCTTCAAATAAGTAGTGAATGTTTAAATATGTGACTTTTGTGAACAAATGTACTCTCATAACCTTTTAAACTGGATATTCTACGACAATGCGATACATCTTAAAGTTAAGATCGAGGCGAAGACAAAACTTAGAACAGAGATCATTTTAAATTTAGATGTAAATGCATACACATCTGGTGTTCATAAAGTTTGGTCTTATCTCCTCAAATATTGATCATAAAAATAAGATTTGATTGTATCAATTGATCATAAAAAAGATTTCCAGTTACAAATGTCTTTGATAACTTGAAATTAATTTGATAACTGGGAGAATATACATAATATCAGTATTTGAAGAAGTAAAGCATGTAGGAACGTTTTTCCTCAAGCACGTAAACGTAGAGTATATATATATATACTATATATATATTAGATTTATATATATATACTATATATAGTATATATATAAATCTAATTTATACCTCTTATTTAATCTTAGCTATGTTTATCAGACACCAGATTTAAATAAAAAATCTGATGAAGGCACCACATCATTTCTTTGCACGGCCTATTAGATTATACTCACTTTTTGCTGTATTTCATTTAAACATGTTTCCTCGAATTTAATTAGACATATATTTCTCATTGAATCTATTCAGTTTTCAGGTCGCGGCAAGACAAATATACATAAAAACACAAATATCTTCATTAAAATTGATAAATACCGAAAAATATAAAGCATCACATACAGTTAAAAAGAGTTTAAATTTGTTTTCACAATTAAAATTGTAGTTTCTACGCAAAACCAAACCATTCCATCAGCAGGCAGGAAGACAGAGTTTCCGGTGCACAAAATTAAAAGTTTACCTTTGGTCCCACTCGGTAAAAAGACACTAAAGTTGGTGCAGAAACTGACCTATTTCACTATTCTACTAAGTTACAAATGTAAACAAATGGCGGCTTTGTTAGGCTTAGTAGCACTTTAACAACTTTTCAATTGTTGATAATTCTACAACTACTGCATGCAGATTAAGTAGAGTCATAAAATACTTAACCTGAACATGAGAAATACATAATTCAGGTACTTTTATATTAAAATATGCACAGTTTACTAGTAGTTTTTTTACCAGCACAGTGTATAAGAATTTTCTGAGCTTAAGATTAAACTGAGCTCACCGAGCCGGGTAACAGAGTGTATATTTATGTAGATATTTATACATTTTTCGTATAGCCCATTCTAACGAAAACGTGAAGCGCAGAACTATATGTTATAGCAGTCCCATATATCAAATTTCAACGTTCTGAGGCTACTCGGTTTTGATTTTTTCGAGATACATGCATACTTACGTATGTAAAAACGTCACGGAAAAGATCTCTTTTGAACCCAATTTAAATCCATTTTACAATCTTTTTTGGAAAAAGAGTCTTTTATTCTGTCCATACAATACCCCGAAACATGTCAAAAACAGATGTCACCTAAAAACATTCAAATGGATCCCAGAGCGATTAATGTGGCTATTTTCGTTGAGATTTGATACCCGAAAGTTTTTGCGATTACAAAACTTGTTTTACTTCGTATAAGGAAGTAAAAATTATAACCTTTTACATAAATAACAGCTATTTGTCTAAGACCGACTTGCTGGATTTCATTTCAATTAAAATTTTAGGCTTTATCATTAATTCATATCTTCGCTGTCAAACGCTTAAATAACTTGAGCATTTCTAACTGAGACATTTACTTGGTTTTTCCATGTGCAAAAATTACGATATTGTTCAAAGATACTAAATGTGAATCCAAGTGCATATAGTTATATTTAATAGCTTTTAAGTTAATTATAATGCATGCCTTAAACCTTAATATAAGTTTAAAAGTATGCAAGGGGGTTTTAATTTTTCTCAGCGCCATCGTTTTGTTAAAATGAAGAACTCTGGATTATTTTAAGCTGAATATTTTCTCTACTAATAACTTCTCTCTTCTTTCAAGCATGCATTTTGCAGGCTATTAGAATGTAATTAAGAGTATGCATCTTGTATCTTTTTGTCCAAATTTAGCGTAATTAAATATGCATACACATATATTTTAAGGAAAGTCAACGACTCTTTGATATATTGAAAAAGTATGCAACACTGTATATTACTTATTGTTCTTGACGAAGATAGCTCGAACTTATTTAATGATACTTAACTTCAGTAAGTGGACTGTAATATTAACAATAACAATTTTATTTTAACAAAAACAACATTATTGAATACTAGCACACGCATGTGCTTATAGTTACCTATGTAACTTAGCTAAGAGCGAGCAACCATATGCTCTTACATCAAGTCAGAAATCATTCATACTAATAAAGCAAAAACGAAATAACTTTAGGGTTACACTAAAGCCAAACTCTGCTTGGCGTAAAACAATGCTGCCAAGCAATACTCTTTCAGACACCGAACATCCCGCCCGGCGTTGAAATAATAATTTCAATACAATAAGTAGAATTCAAAAAAGTAATAAATGTTCATACAATACAAAATGATACAATGTAAATTAATGCAAAAATTATAATACAAGTAATTACAATGTGAAAAGAACAAATATGATGGATTACAATTCAAACCTTCAAATAAACATAAAAATTAGTACATTATTTCTCAATTGGCAGTACAGCAATTTTAGTAACTGCTCGTTGATAAATACCATTTTTGGTTTTGACAGAGACAACTCGCACAAGGTTGTCCTTCCCATAAAACACATCTACAATTCTCCCTAACAACCATTTGCAGGTAGGAAGATTTTCTTCCTTAATCACTACCATATTCCCTATTTTAATATTTTGTTTAGCAATCATCCATTTATTTCTTTGAATCAAAGTGCTCAAGTAATTATTAGTCCAGTTCTTCCATATATTTTGTACCATTTTTGTAGTTTTTTGCCATAAACTAAGTCTGTTATTATCTACTTCTGTTAAATTGGGTTCAATTATTGAATTGATCGGTCGACCTATAAGGAAATGACCAGGGGTCAAAACATTTAAATCATCAATATTAGAAGTTAACGGTGTAAGAAGAGGGCGAGAATTTAAGATTCCCTCTACTTGAACTGTTACTGTCAAAAATTCTTCGTAGGTTAATACTGAATTTCCTACTGTTCGTTTAAAATGAAATTTAAAGGATTTTACTCCTGCTTCAGATAGACCATTAAAATTTGGTGCTCTTGGGGGTATAAACTTCCATTGTATACCTTCCTCGGCTAGAAAAAGTTAGCTAAAGTTCCATTCTGCTTTAGAAAAATACTCATTAATTTTTTAATTTCTGTATTTGCACTAACAAAGTTTTTTTGCATTGTCACTAAATATTTTTTTTGGTTTACCTCGTCGGGCAAAGAACCTCTTCAGACAAGCAATGAATGCTTCTGCGGTTAAGTCATTGACAATCTCTAGATGAATTGCTTTGTCACCATACAAACAAAAATACAAACATATATCTTATGATAGTTACCCTTGCGTTGCCCTTTGTACTTTATCAAAAATGGGCCGCAGCAGTAATCAATAGCACAACAATTAAATGTAAAGTTAATATTAATTCTCTCTTTAGGTAATTCTCCCATTAGTTGTTGAGAAATTATTGGTTTTGCCTTAAAGCAAATTATGCAGCTTTGGACTATCTTTCTAGCTATATTCCTGCCATTAATGGGCCAATAAATTTGTCTAATAGAATTTAATAGTGATTGTGGACCATTATGAAAATCCTTTTCATGAAAATAAATAAATATAAGTTCAGTTAACTTATTCTTGGCAGGCAAAATAATGGGATGTCTTTGACTATAACTTAAATTAGAATTCTTTATCCTACCACCTACCCTTAACAGACCTTTTTCATCTAAGAAGGGATCAAAATATTTTAACTTACTCCTTGATGTTATCTGTAGACCTTTCTGCAACAAAGAAATTTCTTCTGCAAAATACCTACCTTGGATATATTTAAGGAGTGTATTCCTTGACAGCTCCATTTCATCTATACTAATACTACCTGTTCGTTTCTCACTTGTGTTCCTACAGTTGTAGATAAATCTGAAAAGTAAACTAAGAATTCGTATTAGTTTCAAGAAATCATTAGTTATTTTTAGGAAGTCATCAAAGAATGAATCAGTTTTTAAAGTCAACAAGGAAGTCGTAACTGGTTTCAGTTCTGAAGAATAAAGCTCATCACTAAGTCCATTTTTATCTTGAAAATTGTCCTTGTTTAAAAAATCAGGACCTTTCCACCACAGCTTGTTAGATCCAAGAGTCGTAGCATCTGATCCTCTGGAAAATGATGTCGGCTGGGTTCATTTCTGAAGACACATGTCCCCACTGATAGTTAGAAGTAAGTTGTTGAATTTGTGAGACTCTATTACTCACAAAGGTTTTCAAAAGATGCGGTGATGTATTGATGATCCAGGCTAAAGCAATGCTTGAATCTGACCAGAGCTTAACGTCATCAATTTTGAGTTTCAAAGCTTCTAAAACCTTTTGCATAAGTTTGGACAGGAGTAGACATGCTGATAGTTCTAATCTAGGAATAGTCATAGTCTTGATTGGTGCTACACGAGATTTGCTACAAAGAAGTTTACTACAATATTCACCAGGGCTTGTAATGCTTTGAAGATATATCACTGCCCCAAATGCCTTCTCGGAGGCATCCGCAAATCCCTGTAAAATGAGCATTGAAAAGGTCTCTTTTAAAATGCAACGAGGTACTTGTATATTTTCTATACTCTGAAGAGTTTTAATAAGCACATTCCATTCATTGGCAAGAGGTGGTGGTAACTGTTCCCACCCAGTCTAGCTTAAGCAACCAAAGTGTTTGCATGAATATCTTTGCCTTGCTAATAATAGGACCGAGTAGGCCTAAAGGATCATATAATCTCGCTATTTGAGATAAAACATCTCTCTTCGTAACATCAGGCTTTTCATTAACAGTAACTTTATATTGCAATGTATCCTTCTTATTATTCCACAACATACCTAACGTCTTCACAGTTGTATTACTATTACGATCAAATGAAAAATTCTGTAAATCAGAGTTCTGAGAATCAAAACTAGTACACCACTTGTGTAGCTTCATTCCTCCTCTTTGGAGCAATTCTGTCAAATCTTTCTGGAGCTGAATGCATTCCTTCAAATTCGAAGATCCAGTAAGACAGTCGTCTACATAGAATCTTCCAAGACCACTTTCGATGCTACAGGAAAATCCTTTTCTTCATCCTTCGCTAACTGTTGAAGAGTCCTTTGTGCCAAATATGGAGCGCATGCTGTGCCATAAGTTACCGTTTTGAGTCTGTATGTTTCTATAGGCTTATCTTCATCTTCCTTCCAAAGTATTTTCTGATATTTGGTCTGCGATGGCAATATTTCAATTTGTCGAAACATCTTCTCAATATCGACAGTAAATGCATAAATATGCTTTCTAAACCGTATCATGATGGAAAAAAGTTCTTCTTGAATCATTCCACCTTTACATAATATGTCGTTCAATGAACAAACCGTTAGTAGTTTTGGCACTCGCGTCGAACACAACGCGTAACTTTGTTGTTTTACTATCAGGTTTCAGCACGCCATGATGAGGAAGAAAATATTCCTCCTTCAGTTTCAGAATAGTCTTCCATCCTCTCCATATGATTTAATGATTCATATTCCCTTAAAAATGAAACATAAAGTTCTTTCATTACAGAATCACTCGACAAACGTTTCCACAACTGATTCAGTCTTTTTTCAGCGATTTCCTTTGAATTCCCCTAATTGTATGTTTTCACCAATATCTGGCTTGAACGGCATTTTAACCACATATCTTCCATCCGCATGGCCGGTAAAAATGAGTTTTCAAAAAGTTCGTTGCAGTAATTTAATTCAGAATTAACTGTAGATTTAGTTTCATTTACTTCTTCAACTTCCCAGAATGATCTTTACTAAGTTATTTAACGAATTAATCTCTGTTGACAAAAAACAATAATTTAAAGTAAGTCATAATTTTTTTACATTTGGAATTCTAATGCTTCCAGAAACTAAAAAGCCGAAAGCAGCTGTTTTGAAGAAGTAACTCATTATCTTCTAAACGTATTTTATCTGTTTTTAAAAATTCAAAAAATAATTCCGCACCTAATAATAAATCTACCTTTTTTGCCTTGAAAAATTCATCATCAGCTAACTTTATTCCTTTCGGAATATTTAATTTCGAAATATCAATAGATTTCGATGGTGTCATGTCAGTTATTTTGGGAACAACTAATAACTCTATTTCCCATTCATTTTCCTTTTCTAAGTTCGATAAACGCGCCTCTTTATTTGCGATTTAACATTCAAAGTAGTGTTGCCTATTCCACTAACTGGAATAAATGCTCGTTCTTTTTTTATTCCTAATGAGTTCATAACACCTACAGTACAAAAATTAGAAGTCGAAGCTGAATCAAGCACGGCTCTAAAAGGAATTCGTTCATCGTAAACATCGCGAAGATAAACAATCGCTGTATTTATTAACACAAATTTAGATTTATTTGCAGCTGCCATCAAAGTTGTGGGGGGGGGGAGAGGGGCAGTCCTCTTTCCCATTCACTGACGAAAGGTTCAAGGTCAATTCATTTTCTTTCGATGATTCATTTTGTTTTTCGTCAATTTTATGTAACAGCGAATGATGTGTGTCTTTCTTACAGACATAACAGCTAAGTTTATTTAGCCTTACACTGCGATAATACGTGTGATGGAGAAAGGCATTTAATGCATAATTTATATTCTTTAACAAAATCATACCGCTCAGAAACAGAAATACTCTTAAATTTCGAACAATGATAAATTGGGTGTGGTTCTTTACACATAATACACTTTTGAAAAGGGTTTGTTTTAGTTACCAAGGATTTTGAATTTCTAGAGCGACTTAATTGATTTGATACTTTAGTAGCATAGCTCTGCTTAGGAAAACTAACTTTGTTTATTTCTTCAAGAATGCGAATTCTTTCTTCGAGAAATTCTAAAAATTCATCAAGTTTGGGAATTTCATTTGATTTTACGTTTAGTTCAAATGCTTTTCTAGATTCTCTATCTAATTTATGCAATAAAATATTTAATATCAAAACATCAGATAAATTATTTCTATCAAATTCTAATACACTTAAAGATCTCAAACATCTTTTAACATTATCTACCAGTGATCTCAACTGAGAAGGTGAATCATTTATTTTTTCAAATTTCAACAAATTATTGATAAAGGCATCAACTACTGCTCTTTTGTTTTCATATCTGCTTTCAAGTGCAGAAATAGCGACTCAAATGTATCCTGACATGATTCTAACATTTTTGCTTCACCTTTAAGTGATGCTTTCAAATAAAACAGTTTCTCAGTATCATTTAAATTATTATTATTACCAATCATAGATATAAATTGCACTTTAAAATTTTTTAAATCTTCATATTTACCATAAAATTGAGGAAGAGGTAAATCAGGCAGTTTAAAATTTGATTTAGAAACATTTTTGGTTTCAAATTTATCTGTATTATTTGTTTCACAATTAGAAAGAAAAATTCTAAATCTTACTTCGAACTCTTCGATGCTTTCTTCCAATTCTTGTGTAATGCTTAGATTATCCTTCAAGTCAATTTCCTCTGGCAAATTGGTGTATTCCACTATGAGTTGTTTAACCCGAGATTTTAATTCCAACAAAGAATCCAATTTAGTCTTCATAATAACATCATGGTTGAGTTTATTCTCCTCCATTTTATACTCATCAAGGAATTTTATCAAAGCTCCGAGTTTTATCGTTTTCACTACGCCGCGTTGGCGATTCAATGAAACAATATTAGTAGCCATATTCTTCTCCGGCTAACGTGAGACCAAACTGTTCTTGCCGAAGATAGCTCGAACTTATTTAATGATACTTAACTTCAGTAAGTGGACTGTAATATTAACAATAACAATTTTATTTTAACAAAAACAACATTATTGAATACTAGCACACGCATGTGTTTATAGTTACCTATGTAACTTAGCTAAGAGCGAGCAACCATATGCTCTTACATCAAGTCAGAAATCATTCATACTAATAAAGCAAAAACGAAATAACTTTAGGGTTACACTAAAGCCAAACTCTGCTTGGCGTAAAACAATGCTGCCAAGCAATACTCTTTCAGACACCGAACACTTATATAATGAAATTTTATATGTAAGCACTTTAACCCTTTCCGGCACGCTAACTTTTAAAGTCGGAGTTTCGATAAAAAAAAAAAAAAAGGTAGGCAGTGTAATTAGGCCTAGAGGAGTACATAAGTAAATTTTTGTGAAGATAGCACTTATCGTTTTGATTCTGTGGGTGTGCCCAAACTGGCGCACTGATTGAATAGAGCTTCGAAAAGAGTGCTGAAACGAGCATTGTTGTCAATGATCTGACCGATGAGATGCGGAGAAACAATGGATACATAATCTCAGTTGTCCTAGATTATCGGTGAGCCCGGTCTGGGCACACCTAGTGTTCGCCGTTTGATTTTAGGCAAGATTTCAAAGTAAAAATTTGAAACTAATATAGAATAAGGAGATTAGCATACATCTAAAAAATAACATAGAAATTTCTTTTCAAACAATTCTCTTTATACCCTAAAAAAATGGCCCACCAGCGGCCGAGCGGTAAAGTTGCTGAACACTGGTAGTTCGGTCCGAGGTTCGAATCCCGCGAACGGGCTGGCTGCATGGGTGTTTTCGTGGTTTTCCCCATGTGTAACGTGTATACGAGCCAGTTTCCCTTAGAAAGTCCTCCACGAAAGGCATCCCTCCCCTTTGGCAGATAGCCCTAGTGTGCTTTGCCGTAATTAAATACACCACCACACCACCACACACCCTAAAAAAATCTGGAAGATTTCTTTGAAAAATGAGGGTCTTAAAAAGCTAAACATGGCTAAAATATATGGACTGGTTTGTGTTGAGCTGCCATCTACTATAAATAAAGAAGCTTCAGAATAACCTATAGTAACCTATAAATCCTTTTTCATTCAATTTTCCCTGTGCGTACAGAAGGAAATTTTTAGGTGTGTAGAGACCGGACACACTGTGCCGTAAAGGGTTAACTGAAATTATGAATGTCACAAATTACTCATTTTTTTTTTCTTTTTTAATAAAAGTAGGAAGACAAGTAAATAAAGGATGGAGTAAAATATGTATATAGAAGGTTTTTCTCTGTCTATGATTTGATACTTGAAATTTCTTAATGAATCACCTCTGTGAATAAACATTTGTTGCATGTTTTTGTTAAAAATCGAAAGATTGTTTTGAAAAGACATAATTTTGAATCTAATTAAGAACATTTTACAATTAGAGAATACCACGTAACGTGAGTGAAAGTTAATAGTAACATTTAAACAAAAATTATGACATTTAATAAAACATTATTACAGTGAAAATGCAATCATTCTTTATATAAAGAAACGACTAACCATTAACATAGGCAAAGGACATTATATAAGAGGTAAAAAAATAATTTTAAACTATAAATTTGTATAATAACTATCATTTTGATGCTTTAAATAATACCAAAATGATATTTACAACTACTGTATAAATGTGAAATATTAAGCAAAACACTGCTTTTAAATAACCATTTTTTTTACACTGAATAAACGTCGTTTTACTATAATATGGAAGATAAAAAAAACAAAATCTGAATTGTTTCATATTTTAACGGTCGCCC